GGGTCAAATGTGCGTGCGGCGCAGCGCCGATGGCTGTGAAAGCCAGGAAGAGGTGATGACCGATCGCTGAGAGCGCAGAGATGCGGGTCGAATGTGCGTGCGGCGCAGCGCCGATAACTGGGAAAACCAGGAAGAAGAAATGACTGATCGCTGAGATAATGAGCGGGACCGGGATGGAATTGACTGGGAGACGAGGCTCTGGCGCCTTTCGCCCATGGAGGATAATAGTCTGCGGAAATGCGGCACCGCATTCCACTAGTCTCCGCCATTACAGCGCTCCGACGCATGCCCAGCGGCGCTGGAATAATGGATTGGGACGACGGGCCAAACAGCAAACACACCGGCCAGGTCGGTGACCATTGACCAATGACCAAGTCGAGCGGGCGGCGCCGGCGCTGGAGATATAAGGACAGAATAGCGAAACTGGTATTCGGCTCTGAGTTCTTCGAATACGAAAGAACGATTTCGCTCGTTGGCGGCTGTCAATTAGGGGAGCGGGGAACCATCAACCAGACATAGATCCACAGGATCGGTATCCGAAGAAACGCATAAAAGGGCTGTACGCTCAACTAATTATCATCAACGTAAAAATGAATTTAAAACTGTGAAATTGAACCAGATTATGCTTAAAATCATAACCTGAACAATGCTGACAGTTTTATCTGAATCAAATACCTCAATTTTAAATCAAATACCTCAAATTATGACAAGCAATCTAATTTAACCTGGGAGCCTTCGTTCAACAATGATATGCAATGCATATTGAAACGTTATAACAATTTAAACGATATGCAAGTAAAATTTGGGTAAGTTTGAAATTTGCTTTATATTGATACATTTACAGGCGAATAAAGTGGATTTCAACTAAAACGAAATCTTATAAAAGTGGGTTTAAACTAAAACGACATCTTATATTCTTAGGTCCATGAATCTTGTAGAACATGGGCGTAAAGCGCGTAAGCACCAAAAGATAAACGGTAAATAAACTAACATTCCTACAAAGCTGATGTTTAACGACGATCCATTTTGTTACATGAACGTTTTTAAAACATCGGCTTAGGCACGTACCTAAACGGAAAATCAAGAAAGTAATTGGTAATTAAATTTACATTCCTACCGTCGTAATCGAGCTTTACAAATACAATAAAGCGTTTTAAATATAAATGTCGGGCAATACGTATCCATAACACATTTGTTAAATGAATGAAATTTAGTTAACGACTTGCAGCATTTGATCAAAGTAAACGATTACAAAACCCTGTACGAAGCAAATAGATTAAACGGTGAAACGATTTAAAACGGCAAAATGCATTATTTATCAAAGGTATGAGTTAAACAGCAAGTTTGACATTTCCACCTAGTAAATTTAAAGTTTCACCGGCAATTCATTTATTCGATCGGTGAGCCTAGCCCATGTTATAGTAAAATGGTAAATAATCAAAAATGTTCGATTACGATAATTCATGAGAATTATGAGCAAAGTATGGCAATTTTGACATTTCCTAAGGAATACCTTATTCATAAATTTTCCAGAATTCCAATGATCCCCGATCAGTGAATGAGAGAATAAGAACAGTAAAACGGTGAACGGTTTAACCTTTGAACGGTTAAACGCAAAATTTACGAATAATTCTGAGGAAACATGGTAATTCTAACATCTCGCTTAGTGAATGTTCAGGTAATAATTTCACTGGCATTTCAAATGATTTTGACGAGGGAAGTATCAGTTTCAACGACAAGACTACATTACGTATCACGTAAATACGTTGCTGGCAAAATCATATCAATACGGATTTATAAAGTTTTACAATTTAACGCCTGATAGCAAAGTTTGAATTGACCATTTATAGTTTTTAGAAAGAAACGAAGCACAGCAAAGTTCCGTAGCATTTCAAACATAACACTAGATATCAGGCATAACAATAATTGAAGTTCTCGTCAGGACAGGCCTTTATCCGTGACGAAAACATTTCAATTTCATCACTCGCACAACATTCAATTATATCAATCATATATACTTTCATCAATCAATCATACGGTTCGCCGTTTATCGGTCAGATATTTCCTCTCACCGATGTCTTATTATTGCAGTCGTCAACAAAATTTTCCTAATGAATTTTGGTGGCTGGCTCGCTCGATTGTCCCTGAGTAATGAATATTTCACGGAGTGAGCAAATTAAATCGGCACATCGACTGGGGCTGTTCGGTCGAGATTTACGGGCTTCTCCAACCAACTAATGCAGTTTAAGACTTATATAGCGGTCGGACAAGGGTCACACCGACTACAGCACAAAGCGCACGCAAGACAAGCTAGTTCGGTCGAGACTTATGGGCTTCTCTATATCAAGAGAAGGGATCGCTGCCGACTTGCACAACATGCCGCCCAAACAACAGGTGTCTGGGTCGCGGATTTACGGGCTTCTCCAACCAACTAACGCAGTTTAAGACTTATATAGTGGCTGAACAAGGGTCACACCGACTGACATGATTGTGCACGCGAACTAGCCTGCTCGGTCGAGACTTACGGGCTTCTCCATATCAGAAGAAGGCTCACTGCCGACTTGAGCGCAATGTGCACACGTAACAGCGATTCCCGGCCGATGCACCAAAATTATGTAATGTACTCGTGATGCCGGCGGCTGCGCTACCGCCGACACCCGTGCAATCCTCCAACAGCCGTCTGCCACCCAGCCGTGGTGGTCCAACTATTATCTTTACTTTACTTTGGCATCCGGTGGACAGGGAATGCATCACCTTTGGGCACACACGGTTGGGTCGCGCACCCTCGTGGGTTGCGGTGTGCATTACACCGTCTTAATTGCAAGTTACGTTATTATTACATTTACGTTACGTTGATGTTTAAACTCCGTGACTCATTCATTACCTCCGTCTTTCGTCTCTCGTCTCGAATGTCTCTCTCTGCCAAACAAGATAAAGATTTCTGCTCCGTTATTATTTACATAAAACAAGTATAACGCCAAAGAATGAAACAAGACTGCTCGGGAATGTACGTCTACGGGAAATTACGTCGCCTCAGAATAAACGCGCAGATTAGCCTAACATACCCTAACACGCGCAATCTACACATTTACTTTACCTTGCTCCTAGCCTAGCTAGGGAGGCGGGGTGAGCACAAAGCCCCATCCTCCGGGTCAGCGGGACACCTACCTCGAGCGAAGCCACCACACGAGAGCCCCGATCGGCCGGCGCTCACGCGTTATAACCCAGCTCGAGGCGGGAGTCGGAACGGTCAGCCCGCCCGAGGTGAAAGCCAGCCTCGCGTTCCGACGCGGCGCCCGTCGACCAGGAAAACCTATTCCTACAGGCGCGGGCTTTACACAACATTCACCAAACCCTTTTGATTCATTCCGCACCATAAATCTCAATGGTTTCTGCCGTCATTTTTACATCAACGTCGACGCCATGACAGACCAAGGCTGACGATAACGTGGCAAATTAGCCGGCTGCTGCAGCACTGACAAGCTGAAATTCCTCCAGGCTATCGTTTAGTGACGGGTCGGAGCTCCCGATCCGACTGGATGAATAATGTCAGTCCATATCGCCGTCTGAATTTCATTACCCGTTTTCGGAGTCGCCGGCCATGTCAGGCAGGAGACAAAACGTCTGTCTCTCCACATGTCCACTGTCAATTTCACAGCCCAGCTGCTGTTTAACATATGTATTTGAATGTATTGCAGATGAGACATGCAGAATTGGGGCTCATGAATACTATGCGAGCTAGTAGCCGACGATCACTGTATTTTTAATTTTTGTCATGCAGAGCAGCATCTGCAAAATGTATTAAAATAAAAAAAACACTGAAATTCATTTGATCCAAAACAAATCTCACCTAAGACCTGTTAATTCTGTTCATCGATCTAATTGTCGGTCTATCAATTCCCGCCTGTTGAGAACCAGTGCTGTCGTCTGAGTGAACTTCCGACTCAGACTTATAAGTAGCATTTTATCACTAGATTAGGAACCATGAAATATGCTAATTAAATTTAACCTGCCGTACCACGTAAAACAGCGCCTCAAATCTTATAGCACATGATACGCTTTGCTGCACGCCATTATCCTATAGAATCAAATCAAGGATGCCGAAAGTACCGCCGAAAGATAAAGCTGGTGGGTGGGCTGTGCCTCCTTCACCACCCGAACATTACCGTCTACAGACAAGCTTGCACACATTGTTTGGCGAGTGAACCTTCGGGCGGACTTTCTGACCAGGAAGAGGTCGCCAGTGGCACCCACCGGAAAGGCTGACGGGCTTCCCGACTGGGCACGATTTGGCGCCGAGCCGCCACGGGTAACCTTTGAGCGGCGTCACCGTCGCTAAATTTCCGGGATATACGATTGGGAAGGAGCGCCGGCAGAAAATCCCAACGGCTCAGAGAAAATCCCCAATAGCCAGACCCACAGCGATACGCCTTCTCGCGTCACCGGAGAAGACCGTGGGCATTTACAGGAAGCCGTCTCCGGAGACAAGGGGCGATTTAAACAGCGCACGGAGACAAGGGTGGTCTCTGGAGGGACGGCGGTGTCTGGCTGCCGAGCCAGCACATGTCAGGGCATTGCGCCTGTCCTGGGACCCGGCCGCGGTGCTGTTTGGGTTGGCCGTGGGAGGGACGCGCAGACCGTCTCCAAAGGGCGGCCGCATGTCTGGCGGGCCGCTCGTGCCCCTGCGGCCGTCCCCAACTTGGCCGGCTGGTGCATGACGGCACCGAATACTACTCTTTTGCTCTTACTCTTGGCTGCAAGGGCAGGGATGCAGCCGGCATGTAGACACTGTTAATTTCTGTTCTTTTTTACGTAAGCCTAGGTTAGGTAATCTATCGCAGTAATGTTGCAGAAATACCTCGTTATCTCGCCAAGAACCTTTTATAGGTATTTAATGCGTCCCAGTGAACGTCCCTCCCCTTCCTGTACAAATGTTCGCCGCTCTCCTGTGCCACTCAAGATTACTTGCCGTTAACCGTCCCCCTCTCCCCTCATCACAGGGTGCCAGTGAAGGAGCACACTATGGTGCTGCCGGAGATAAAAGAGGAGCAAGATGACGACGAGAGCGAGAACTTCTTCGGCTCCACTTCGCTGGGTAGCATCGCCGCAGAGAACGGCCTCATCGATGGTAAATACCGGAAAACGGACAGAAGTCCGATGACAAAACGGTCGTGTTGATAGTGGATGATTGAAAGACGTGCCTTAAAACTATATTCACAGAATGATACGCTAATCCGATGAGCAGGAATTAAAAGGGAAACACCAATTTAATCTTCTGTTTGGTTACGGAGCGAGCGAAGCGAGCGTAGTCTTTCCTTAGATTAACGGAAATTTCTGAGTATGAGCGGCCGGCCGGCCGGCCGGCCGGCCGGCCGTGCGGACGCTTTTGCGAGGCTTATATCTCAGCAACCACTTGACCGATTTACATGCGGTAAATTTTGTAGGGTAGCTTCATTCCTTCTACCAAGTATTGGACTATTCCCGATGCATTTGGGTGACCCCTTATGCACGTGCCACGTGCAAAACGAAGAGGTGTCAGTTTTGTAATTGTTGCAATATCTCGGTAACTACTTGGCCGATTGCGCTGAAAGTTGGCATGTAGGTAGGTACCCAAAAGGCACTGCATATCCATGTGCCAGAATTGGGGTGCTGCTGCACGTGCGCACGTGCAGGGGTCGTTTCCAGATCTCGAGAACGGCTGGACCGACGGCGCTCAAATTTGGTACACGGTTAGGGACCAGTTAGTAGGGTGCCGTGCACAAGTCAGTTGGGACCCATTTTGCACGTGCGCACGTGCAGGGTGCCGCTCCCAGATCTCGAGAACGGCTGGGCCGATTGTGCTCAAATTTGGCACATCGCTAGAAACCGGTCAGTAGGGTGCCGTGCACAAGTCAGTTGGAGGTACCCCCTCGAAATTTCGCACGTGCAAGACTCACCCCCTCGCTCGCTCCGTTAGTCGCCCCAAAAGGCGTTATACTGGTATTATCTTCTTTCATGTTATCCTAAATTGAAAGAATAAAGGAAAAAACTCACTTATAACAACGAACCGTTATTTAATTAATGCGCGCGGTGTTAATTCCCTGGAGGGATCTTCTGGTACTGTTAATTATAAATATATAGTTTCTTTATATTTTCTTGTAGTCGGAGTCTTCTTGAGTCATAGAGAAAGAAAGGACATCTTCTACGGGGTTTATTGCTTGAGTGACACTCTCATAGGCGGTATCTTAACGCAAAACATTACCGTTTCAATCGTGGTCACCAGCAATTCCTTATCGTAATATGCAGTGTCTACATTATATGAATATTTCTCTTAAATGTTTCACATTTGCTATTTCCTTAATATTTTCCCCGTTACGAAGTTTATGTCCTCCTTACTAACTAACTAAAACCTTGACCTTTCTTCAATCAAAATATTTACAACAATTAAAACACTTCGCTCGCGTGATCATTTCCGGGAGCGCTCTTGGTAGAATATTCAACATATATAACAACATATATATACAACAACAACAATATATACAACAACAACGAGGGTGCTCGGGGTGATATGGCACCCAGAACATGATCTTCTGAAGCTGTCTCCACAAATAGAGGGCGCGAAGGTGAAGACCTGCTCAAGACGCGGTTTGCTTTCTGTGGTGAGCTCGGTATATGACCCGCTAGGTATGGCTGGCATGAAACTGGACCACCGAGAGAGACAGTTCAGCCACCACAAGAGAGGACCGGTACTACTGGTGCGACAGTGTGCGGAACTGCAGGAGCGGAAAACTCAGATCGGCCCACACTACCCCTGGTTCCAGTCATCGTCTGTAACGGCAACATAAAGATTAAGACATTCGCATTCCTCGACAGTGGGTCTACCCATTCGTTCGCTACTGAAAGCTTGATGGATCAACTCGGCATTAAACAACAGCCCAGCAGGCACCTGACCATCACGACTGTGGCTCAGGAGGACATCAGCATTCCGACACGGGAAGTGGAAGGACTTCACATCACGGACCTGTGCGGAGATAACAGAATGGACTTACCAAAGCTCTTCAGCATGGAGAATATACCTGCCGACCCAAGCGACTACCCCAAGACAGACGATGTAAGAAGATGGGATCACCTCAGATATTTAGAGCTGCCAGAGCCCGAGATAAGTGAAGTTGGATTGCTCTTGGGAGCAAATGCGTTCCTAGCCATGGAACCAGTGAGAGTGATTCCAAGTGTAGACGGAAGCCCATACGCGGTGCTGACTAGATATGGTTGGGTGGTCAGCGGTCTTGATTCACCATCACGAAAGTCGCACACCACAGTGTGTAGAGCGGCTGTGAGAGACGAGGGAGCGTCCATCGAAGAAATGGTGCGTAACATGTACGACAGCGAATATGAGGAGAAACTGCACTGCACAAGAAGAGGCCTATCAGTGGAAGACAAAGAATGGGTTCAAAAAATTGAATCCTCAATGGAGATGCAAGAAGGCCATTACAGTGCTGTTTTGCCAACAAAAACGCCAGAAGAGAGGATGCCAGTGAATGTGAAGATGGCAGAAAACCGACTGGAGCATCTCCGATCGCGACTGCGAAAGGATGCAAAACTTGCTGAGGACTATAAAGGCTTTATGGAAGAAATGATCAACAAGGGGTATGCAGAAGAAGTGCCGGAAGAAGAACAGAGAAGAGCAGATGGACGAGTGTGGTACCTGCCACATCACGCAGTGTATCACCCGACAAAACCTGACAAGATACGCGTTGTCTTTGATTGCGCAGCAAGATACAATGGCGTATCACTCAACGACATGCTCCTGACTGGTCCAGATCAGACGAATTCATTGGTGGACGTGCTGCTGCGATTCAGGCTAGAACGGGTGGCGGTCACAGCCGACGTTGAAGGAATGTTTAACCAAGTGAAGGTCGATGGAGCCGATCGAGATCTCATCAGTGAAGGTCATCAGATCTCATCTGGTTTGAGAACGGAGACATCAGTGGTCGCGCTCGTCACTATCGAATGACGGTCCACTTATTTGGGGCCACAAGCTCACCCAGCGTAGCATGCTATGCTTTAAGAAAGACTGCAGCCGACGCGGGTGACGACTTCTCGCAAGAGTGCGTGACAACTGTCAATGAAAACTTCTATGTAGATGACGTGCTACGATCAGTTCCGACAGACGAAGAGGCCATCACTCTAGCAAATGAGCTAAAGGACCTGTGCAAACGGGGAGGGTTCAATCTGACTAAATTCGCATCGAACAGCCCAGCCGTGGTAGAAGCCATCGAAAACGAAGACAGATCGACTGAAATGAAGAAATGGTCTGGCCTCTGGGATGAGCTGCCGACCGAGAGGGTGCTCGGGGTGATATGGCACCCAGAACATGATCTTCTGGTACTGTTAATTATAAATATATAGTTTCTTTATATTTTCTTGTAGTCGGAGTCTTCTTGAGTCATAGAGAAAGAAAGGACATCTTCTACGGGGTTTATTGCTTGAGTGACACTCTCATAGGCGGTATCTTAACGCAAAACATTACCGTTTCAATCGTGGTCACCAGCAATTCCTTATCGTAATATGCAGTGTCTACATTATATAAATATTTCTCTTAAATGTTTCACATTTGCTATTTCCTTAATATTTTCCCCGTTACGAAGTTTATGTCCTCCTTACTAACTAACTAAAACCTTGACCTTTCTTCAATCAAAATATTTACAACAATTAAAACACTTCGCTCGCGTGATCATTTCCGGGAGCGCTCTTGGTAGAATATTCAACACCCTCCCCTTGAAAGAACTCTTTCAACATTTACATTCGCAAGGTACCTACGACATGACATACACAGTAGTCATACACAGCACTTATTACATTTTCACAAGTTTGGTAATCGGACGCTGCACTGTAACACCTCTGATGTTCAGAGTCACCGATCTCACTAAGCCGTCTTTTGACATCTTGACTGACTCGACCCTACCGATGGGCCATTGGCCCCGTGGCACACTGTCGTCAGCCATCAATACCAAATCGCCCACAGCCAGGTTTTGCCTGGCCGTAGCGGTGCTGGTGGACCGCTGCTGGAGCAGTGGAACATACTCTCGACGCCAGCGCTTCCAGAACACATCTGCCATATAGCTCGCCTGTTTCCACATTTTCCGTTTGTCATTGTCAGATGCAGAGAAGACATTCAAGGGTGTCGTTCCGGAACTGGCCCCGAGTAAGAGTATGTCGTTTGGAGTGAGGGGCGGAGCGTCGAGGGGGTCACTCGATGGCGAGACCAGAGGCCGGCTGTTCACTATCGCCTCGGCTTCACACAGGAACGTTTGCAGCGTCTCATTCTTCAGTGTTTTCGCGTGGAGCATCGTGTCCAGAATCCGTCTAACTGTTCTAATCATTCGTTCCCAGGCTCCACCATGATGAGACGCTCCTGGAGTGTTGAACTTCCAGTCAATGTCGTTGGCTAGCATCTCCTTTGCCACCCACTCTTCCTTTTCCTCCAGCCGCTTCAGCTCTTCACGTAGTTCTCTGTGGGCTCCAACAAAGTTTGTTGCTCGATCTGATCTCAGGGTCTTGACGTTCCCTCTTCTAGCTACAAATCTTTTCAGCGCACAGGTGAACGAGTCCGATGACAGATCCTCAGCCACTTCAATATGTATGCAGCGCACTGATAGGCAGGTGAAAATAACACCATATCGCTTAACTTGTCCTCGACCTTGGCTGACGTAGAAGGGTCCAAAGTAGTCTACCCCAGTTCTTGTAAACGGTCGCTCCCCCGCTGTGATCCTGTCGCCTGGAAGATTTGCCATCTTTTGTTTTTCCGTTCTCGCACGTAGCCGCTTGCAGGTGAAGCACGATTTAAGCACTCTCTTGACAGCCGATGTGCTCTTCAAAATCCAGAACCTCTTCCTTAGTTCTGCCAAAACGTGCTGTCGGCCAGCATGTCCTGTTCGTCTGTGGACGTCCTCGACAAGTAGCTTCACATAGCTCGCATGACTCGGGAGAATGACTGGATGCTTAGCATCATATTCAAGAGCTGAATGTTGCAGTCTTCCGCCGACTCGGATGATGCCGTCTTCAAGGAAGGGGCTAAGTTTGCTGAGCTTGCTTGTTGCACGAATGTCTTTGCCTGAGTTCAAGGCCACCACCTCCTCTGGAAACGCA